TAAAAATAAACCCGATTCAAGTAAAAATAAACCCGATTCAAGTAAAAATAAACCCGATTCAAGTAAAAATAAACCCGATTCAAGTAAAAATAAACCTGATTCAAGTAAAAATAAACCTGATTCAAATAAAAATAAACCTGATTCAAATAAAAATAAACCCGATTCAAATAAAAATAAACCTGATTCAAGTAAAAATAAACCTGATTCAAGTAAAAATAAACCTGATTCAAGTAAAAATAAACCTGATTCAAGTAAAAATAAACCTGATTCAAGTAAAAATAAACCTGATTCAAATAAAAATAAAACCGATATTTTTTTTAAAAACCCATCCATTTTTATCCGCTCTGAATGCCACTAAGCTCACCCCAAACGGGAGGTGACCCCCCTCACCTGACTTTCTCCATGGGTTTTTTGAAGAGCGATTCAATGGCCGAAGGATCCGCCAGGAAGAGCAGACACTGGAGCGCTCGGCTTCGGTGGGCGAAGGTCAGCTGGTTGACTCCTATGGGCTGAAATAAGGGGAGGCGATATGACTTTCGGGGTTTCATGAAAGCTCGGCCGGCTGGGGTATTCTGGGAATTGAGGTCCACCCCTCTTAAAATGGCTACGGTGGAGAAACACTGAATTATACACATATGGTCACACATTGTTCCCGACTCTTAAGGGGCGGTGCTCATCTCCGTTTCAAAGCCGAAGAGCCAGCGCTGTCCGAAGACGTTCTCCGTGGTCATGTGGCCGGCATGACTCAACGCCGAAGCCGCACGGAACGCCGTTCCCTTCCCACCAAAGGTGGTTCCTATTTTTCTACTTGCATTGCTTTCGAACTGCTAGGTTGGCAGAAGCTGGGACGAGTCACGGGAGCTCACTCCATTACGCGGCGCTGGGGATTCGAACCGCCGAACTTCCAGCCTTTCTGATCGGCAAGCTCAGCGTCTTAGCCCCTGAGCCACCCAACTGAATTATAGCATAGGAATTTATTATAATATATAGGGACTTACGGAGGTGGCAGAAACGGCACATTCATAAAGAATCCTTAGCTGGTTCTCCACTGGATAAGCTTGAAGGAGGTATATGACTCTGCGGAAACAGAAATCAACACTTTCTTTTCCCAACAACCTTGCTGATCGTTTTTTGCAACTGTCATAAATATGAATTTGGGATGGCTGCAACAGTGTGAAAAAGACATTTTCTTCCCTCCCCCCTATTCCGTTGTAACTTTGGTCACAAAGCAAACCTGTTGTAAGTCAAGGATTCTCTGTGCTTTATACCCAGCCGCATTCTAAAAAGATTGGGAATTTGCGGGCTCCGTGCTCCCAATTACACTGTTTGAAGGGAAACCCACACGTGCAAACACAAACACGCAACCTTGGGCTAGCCAGACATCACTTACCTCTTCAAGTCATCCTCCTCTTGAACGTTTTCCAAACCTTCCGAGGCCTCCTTTTAAAATAAAACAAGAAAAAAAACCCAAGACCCTATGATTTTAGGGAAGCTGAATTCTGATAACGAAGTCAATTGAATGAAGGATGTTTTTCCTTGGAAGACTTCCTGTAACTGTCAAAATTAGGAAGCCAGAAAGAGGAACAAGTGTACTTTGCTTTAGAATAGAATGACAAGAGTTGGAAGGGACCTTGCAGGTCTTCTAGTCCAACCCCCTGCTTAGGCAGGAAACCCTACACCGCTTCAGACAATCATCCAGCCTCTCTTCAAAAGCTTCCAGTGTTGGGAATACAATGTATAGGCATTGAACGGCTCTGGACTCTCTTGATTTATGTTTCAAGAGCCGAGGTGGCGCAGTGGTTAGGGTGCAGTACTGCAAGGCCACTTCAGCTGACTGCTATCTGCAGTTCGGCGGTTCTAATCTCACCAGCTCAGGGTTGACTCAAGCCTACCATCCTTCCGAGGTGGGTGAAATGAGGACCCAGACTGTGGGGGCAATTTGCA